AGCAGTGTCATTCATTTTTCTTTGCATTCCCTTTGTCACTCATTTTTGTCCAAACATTCTTTCTTTATTGTAGCTAGCTCAGAGATGCCTTTAAAATTTTTTTATACTTAATTAATAAGTTTTATTTTTTTCTCTTTGGAAATGTTCCAGTTACTAGGTAAGTCTGTCATATTATCATACCAGAAACAGAATACAAGACAGTTTTTAAAGGTCATAATATGTTAATATTAACTCATGTTAACTTACTGTTCCTTAAACCCTTTTACATGTACATAGATACAATTGTCATAATTCCTGAATGGAAGTCAGAATACTTAGAATTTTTTTTTTTTTTTTTGTACTGGGGATTGAACCCAAAGGTGCTTTGCCACAAAGCCCCATCCCCAGTCCCCCGCTCTGTTTATTTCAAATTTTGAGGCAAGGTCTCTGATTTTTGGTATTCCCCTTGTTTAGGCTCCCCAGCTATGGGGATTGTAGGTCACTGCACCCAGCTGAACACTTAGAAATCTTAAGAAGTCAGAATTTCATCTAAATGATTATTTCACATGGATTTTTCAGTTAATCCATTATTTAACTATATGCTGGCTGAAGAGCAGTATTGCTAGTTGATATGAATATCCTGAATGACTGGCTCTATCTTCAAGAGACCTGAAATCTAGTAGGGAGATGGCAGATTATGTAAATTACTATACTAAAAAAAAAAGGCTGCTTTTAAATTTAGAAAGTTGAATGCTTTGAATAAAAAAGTGAAATAAATATGTATTAAATTTAAGATCAAATAAATGCTTAAATATACCTCTAGAGATGTATTTAACTTTTGGTAGCCTAGAAAACCAAAATTATTTCATTCATGTTTGAATATTGATTGCCACTTTATAACTAGAGAACTGTAGTAATTTTTATTAATATACCAATAAAATACTATTGTGTGCTATTTTTAGGCTGAAGTTTTTGTTTTTTGTGGTGCTGGGAATTGAACTCAGGGCTTCATGCTTTTCAGGCAAGCACTCTACCACTGAGCCATATCCACAGCCCAAGACTGATATTTGATTAGAACTTGATAGGCTTAATTTGTGCCCGATTTTCTGTAACACCTTCAGTTTTCTTTCATCTGATCATTGCTATCCTCACTGAAATTTCTGAGAATGGAGTTGTAATAGAACCAGATATATTGATAATTGACAGTGATCTAATGTAGACAAATGAATAATGCTGTCACATATAGCACTTTGATCATAACTTGGTTTAATTATGTAGAACATTATGTACTTTATTATGCTAAAATGTACATTTATTTTTTGTGATTTAATTTCTTTGAAACTGGACTATATCTTATAGTTGATGACTTTTTTTCTGGATTTTTTTTTTAATTTTATTTTTTAGGTGTAGTTGAGACAATACCTTTATTTCACTTATTTATTTTTATGTGGTGCTGAAGATCGAACCCAGGGTTTCGCATGTGCTAGGCGAGTGCTCTACCCCTGAGCCCTAGCCCCAGCCCCAATTGATGACATCTTAAGAGTTGCTCAGGCTAGGTGGTAGTACTGATGCAGTTTTCATGGTTTTGAATATACTTTAATTGCATATTTCTGGCAAAAGATTTGTGTCTAGAATGTGTAAGCAGCTCCTATAGATCAAGTTTAAAAAGAATCCCATTTAAAATATGCAGAAACAAAAGAAGGTATACAAATGGCTACCCATCAGAAAGGCTAAACTCTAGGCTTAGAGTTCATGTATTTTTTGTGGAAGTATAAAATGATACAACTAACTACTTTAAAAGTAAACATGGCCTGTGATCTAATATTTCCACTGGAAGGAGTAAGAAAAATAAAAGCATATATTCACCCAAGCACTTATATAAAAATATTTATATTAGCTTTATTTGCAGTAACTCACGTTTTGGAACCAGCCTGGTATAGACTGAATGTTTATATATTTCCTTTCCTCCTAAATTTGTATGTTGAAACCTAATTACCAGTTTGGTTGCATTATGAGGCAGGGATTTTAGAAAGTTATTAAATCATGCAAACTGTATCCTCATTAACAGGATTAGTACACTTAGGAAATAGACCTCAGAGAGCTCTGTTGCCCCCCTTCATGATGAAGACACAGAGGAAAAAAAGACTGAATTGTCAAGCAGGCCCTCACAATGACTACAATTGTGCCAGCATCTTGATCTTGAACTTCCCAGCCACCAGAACTAAGAGAAATAAATTTCTGTAGTTAATAAACTACTCAGTCTATGGTATTTTGATTGTAGCATCCCAGATGGATTAAGAGACTAGAGTATTGTCCACCAGAAGAAGAATGAATAAACAAATCATGGTATAATTCTTACAAGATTTTCAGCAGCAAAAGAGAATGATAGTCTTCATAGGATGGATGAATATTAGAAACATTAAATTGATTGAAAGAAGACAAGTACAAAGGGATATATCCTCTATGATTATGTATATATGAATTCCCAGGACTGGCAAAACTAGTGTATGGTGGTGGAAAGCAAAACTATACTTGCCTGTTGAGTGAAGCATAATGATTGGCTGACCGAAAGATGCAAAGAAAACTTAATGAATTGATGAAGAATTGCATAATTCTTTATCTAGATTGGAATGGATATACATTTGTTGAAACTAATTTGTGTATTTCATCGTATGTAAATTTTATGCCAGTAAAAATATCGAACATGCTTAATTACTTGGGAACTTTTCCTTGTTGGAGGAATGACCTCAATCTCTTATTTTCTTATAAAATAACCACCAAATGCTTTATGGAATCTAAGAAAGGTTGTTCCTCAGATACAGGTGAGAGGATTTCCTACCAAAACATCAAGCAGTACAGTTCAAATTCAGAGAATCATCTGATTCTTGGAGGGATAATGGTACTGATTTATGTAGTGTGTTGTTAAAGTATTGTCCTAGTTAAACCAGCAGGTCCCGTTCCCCCCCCCCCTCCCATAGAGGTACAACATAAACAGTATGTCTCATAGTCATTGGTATTTTAGATTTCATGAACTACAGTAGGGTGAGTAAGTAGAATCTATATAGATCACTTATGGTATACTTATCATTTAGTGGGCTTAGGTTTAGAAGAAGAGGTTATAAAGTCTACCCTTATGTTATCTTCTGAGATCAAGACAAAAGGAATTTTTTTCAAAAGGTGAATTTATTATTATAGCGAAGATGGATTGCTGGGTTTACAGAAGACTCTGTGTGGTACCGAATCAAATTCCAGAAAGAATTCACCTTATACTAAAAATAAGACTGAAAAGCATTTTGAAATAAAGTTGCTTTCTACTGCTAACAGGGAGGGCTACTATAAGAAAATGCCTTGATAAAATCAGAAATTAAAATACCAGGGTGTATAAAAAGGTCGAGTGCTCTGGTTAATTTAAAAACTATGAGAAACTCTGAGCTTTCATAAAACGTACAGCACCCAACATGTAAACATGCAGATGCTTATATAATTTTTATTTCTTAGATATCAGAAGTTGATTTATGTGTTTAATAGACTTTTTATTAATTGGATATTGTAATAGATCTCTCATTTATATTTTTAATTCATTATTATCAAAGTTTATAAGTAATTTTTTATTCTCAAATAATTTTATAGTTTTACACCATATTTTAGAAGTCATAAAAGAGAGACTTACAATATTTAGGAATTTAAATAATTTTAGCCTCATCTAGGTATAGATTGATTGAGAAAAATTAAAGAAAAAGCATCTTTTTATTAGAAGTAAGATCCTTTTGTTCTGTGTATCTGGAACATATTTCAAAAGGACAACTATTTATGTTGTATAATTTACAGGACAATGTATTACATATTTTTCACTTAATGTTTTTGTTAGTTGTGACTTTGTTAGAATTCACTTTCCCACAATGCAAGAAAAATTAGTGTATGAAATAGTGTTTTATTATTCCAGGCATTAGTATTGTATTTGATGTTTTCATTGTGGGCTTGATTAATAAATAAGATAACCAAAATCTATATGGAGCAAATGTTTATCCGGAAGAAATTCTGAAATGATATGAGCATGTTAACATGTTAACTTTTTCATCAGATATAAAATGGATGTGAGAATAGTCAGTTTAGACAAGAAGTTACTATTACCATTATCAACATGTACTAAAAATTTTCATGACGACAAAATTAATATGATGAATCCAGTATGTGGTATTGAAAATTCTCAAGGGACTCTGTTAGATGCAATATCTCATGCATCTTCTTTGCCCTTTTACAAGACCTTTCATTTCATGTCTCCTAAAATTTTGAAGTAAAATGATACTTGTTGCAGTGAATAGGAGGGACTATGCTCTAAGTAATAAATGATGCTAATTTAGAATGCTCATGAACTCTAGCAAATTTTGGAGGTGGCAGCAGCTTTCCAGAATGTTAGATTATTTTTGAAAATGTCTATTGGGGGTACAATGGACATATAGTAAGAGTATTAGTGGTGTTTACTTAAGTGAACTTTTGGCAAATACACTGATTTTCCTACTCTAAAGTCTTCAAAGCAGTCCTGAAGTTCCGTGATATTTTCTGATATTTTGCTGAAGCATAAAACGTAAATAGGGTGTTTTGTGAAGCTCCAGGATAGGCTAAATTTCCCAGTGAAGAAGAGTGTCTAACCAACCCCAGAAGTCAACTTTCTCTTAGATGATCTTTTGATTTTTAAATAAGCTTCCCTTTATCACAAAGTGTCTTCTAATGGCATTTGAGAAACCAAGGATCAGTGTGGAAAATGCTAAGTGTCATTAAATAAATATGAATAGTGTTTTTATATACACAAAAATTGTGATCTGTGTGTGTCTGAGTTCTATTTGGCATACAAAGGAAAGACTCACACTGTCCAGGCTTTATTTTTTGTACACATAGGGCTGGTTTATTTAAAAGTAAGCATTTTTAGTTTAAAACATTGATGTTTAGAAATTATTTAAAATATAAACTTTTCTTATATTACCACACTGAATTCATTTGATTTTTTTCACTTTTTTGCTAAGATTTGTTCCATCAGATGAAAAGAAGAAACAAGGATGTCAACGAGAAAATGAAACACTAATACAGAGAAGAAAAGATCAGATGCAACCAGGGGGCACTGCAATTAGTGTCACAGTACCTTATAGAGTTGTAGACCAGCCTCTTAAACTTATGCCTCAAGATTGGTAAGATTGTCTCTCTATATATATTTTTTTAATATTCATATAATTTTTTTGAGTATTGATTTTTAAAAATTGAACAAGTATTAGATTTTATTATGAGCTCTAAACAAAAGTCTGTTAATATATACAGATCTAATTTGGTCACCAGTAATTTTAATATTCTTGGAATACCTAAACAAACTTATATTTTGAATTGCTAAACTTTATTTTTTTTATAAGAAGAACCACACTAACTTCTGAAAACTTAGAGTATAAAAATTATTTTTTTCTGGATCAGCTTTTAAAAAGGACAGAACAAATAGACTAATGTTATCTTAAGGTCCTCTATTTTAAAATCTTGATTTGGAGAATTTAGATTTTCTGGTAAGATATAAATAATGGCATAGTAAGGGCATAATTTACTGAAAAGAATAACATGGTCAGCTCTTTTTATCAGTATATAGTTATTTAAAATGTCTTTTAACCCAAATATTAAGCTATTTATAATTTAAAGTACCTATAAAATCAGATATTACAAATTATCATAAATAATATTTATTTAAATTAATTTAAATTGGAGTAAAAATGTGAAGCCTCAGAGTTTCAAAGAACATATGGCACATTATATGAAATTTACCTTTGAAGTAATTATTAGTTTTCAATTTTGGATTTCATGCCATTGAGAATATTATTATGTTAAAAAATTATAAAAGAGTAAAGGATTCTTTTATTAGAATTCTTTCCAGTACGTAACAGATAATTGAGTAACATATAAAGTGAGTAAGATGAGAATTTCAGATACTAAGCTTAAAACTAGTAGGAAGGTTAAGACTGTGTATTGTATGTTTACAGGATATCATTATATAGAGAAAATAATTCCAAGAATGTGCACAGGTGTCATCACAGTGCTATAAAATTATATGTATTAGAGTCTTATCATTGGTGTCATAGGTAGAATTAGTATTTTCCTTGTCTTCTTTTAATTATCCTTTCAAGAATTCATGGAGACTGGGTAGCATTTATATTATATTGCTTTCCTGCTAATTCTGTGAGACCCAATAGGATGTAGGTGACCTCTGTCCAGAAAAATTCCCTTTAGGTTGGTTGGTACCAATAGGTCTTTCACCTATACATGGGACAAGTTAGTTGTAAAATTTAGGGATTATTTAATAACATGTTTCTTTATTAAAGATGTTTTTAACATTTTGGGGCATGTATCCCTGAATGTAGAAATTTGTTTACTTAAGATCGAATTTTAGCCTCAGACATTTTGTGTAGAATAAGAATTTTAAGGTTGTGGTTTTTCATTACGACCTTGACAGTCACTGTAGGTTTTTAAATTGAATAGCAGGTAACCGTGGTTTAATGTTTGGTTGGATATACAGAATCTTCATCTAAAACAGTGATTTTTAAAGTGTAGTCTACATTTCTAAGATTGTTACAAGGAGTTGCAAAGCCATGCTGTTTCTATAGTAATAATGCCGAGTGACTGTTCTAATGGTTTATCAGTCCTCAAATGGGAGCAAATATTATATCCATTGCTCAAGATTAATTATTCCTTCTATTCCTTCATTCTCTTTCTTCCTCTCTTACTCTCCCTTCCTTTCTTTCTTTGCTTTTTGTGGGCTTTTCTCTAATACCCTCTGTTCTTCATCTGTAAATGGGGGTATCTGGCATTCACCTCAGCAAATTGGTTTGGAAATTAAATGGATTAACATGAGTAATGTGTAAAGTGCTCAAAACAGCACTGTCCCATAGTAACTGTCATTAAGGTTAATCATTATTGTTGATAGTTTTTGTTCCCACTTCTTTAGTTGTAGGCTTACGTTTATGGCAGTACTTATATTTTCTCCGATTAATTAAATATTGTGCAAAATAATGAAATATGAGGGCTTAGAAATAGATTTATTCTTTCCTAGAAAACTAATTTGGATGGTTGGGGATGGTTGGAAAGAGAAGTTACTTTGAAAAATTAATTTACAACATTTAGAGTGAATGAAATGATTGTAAAACAGTCGAAAAAGTTATAGAAAGTTAAGGAAGTTTGTATCTTCAGATTTCTGCCCACATATTGGAAGAACTGAAAAATAAGATTGTCAAAAATGGCAAGTTACTGTCATGTTTTACTTAAAGTAAAATGTTTTAAGATGTATACTAAATTACTTCCTTTTAAAACTACATCTTTTTCAGTTAATAGATTAACTAGTATTCCCTGTTGCCATGAAAAAGTGGGCCCCTATTCCAATTAATATAAGCAAAAACTAAAAAGTTGACATAAAACTACTGTTTGTATAATTATGTTTGAAAGACTTAGGTGCATGAGAAGGACGTACAGTAATTAATGTGGTCTAGTGGTAATTAAAATTCAGGTTGAAAAGTTAAGGTGATGTTTTTGCTATATTTGTATCTTCAGAAGAATTAATAGGAGATTATATCACATGGATAATTATGAAACTCTTTCCTTAGGGATTTACATTAACTAAGGTCAAATTTGAGATATTCTTCCTATGCCCCCTCTCTCCCAATTCCCTTTCTACTTATAGGGACCGAGTTGTAGCAGTTTTTGTGCAAGGTCCTGCTTGGCAGTTCAAAGGTTGGCCATGGCTTTTGCCTGATGGATCACCAGTTGACATATTTGCTAAAAGTAAGGTTCTCTGTATATTTACTGCTTATCCAATGTAGAAATGTTCTTTATGGTTCTGCATATATGATGTGTATATTAATGGATTGTTATTAAGTAGCATAATATTAACTTAAACACCTACGAAATATTTTTCAGACTTCGTTTTACACATTAATATTTTCTGTGTAGTTATATCTGAAAGTGAATGTTGCCTGTCCTACAACATTAGTAATTATTTTGGGGGGTATCTTAAAGTCATTAATAATTGCTATACATCCATATGCTTTGATTAAAATTGATAACCAGTTTATAAAATGAGTTGGCTTTTGCTAATCAGAACTGTATATCAATACTTAAAATGCCTGTGAATTTTTTCATATATTCCCATCATTTTGAATAATTGTAGTAAGATTGGCTTTTTCTCTGCATTGAGATTTCAGCTTGTGTTCTGTCTTCACAGAATTCTCCTCTGACCATCCTATTTGAAATTGCTCTCACCTACTCCCAGTTGCTTTCTTAAGCTATTTTATTTTCTTGAGAGAGCACTTAAAGTTGCTTAACATCATCTAATTTTATGTCTTTATTCTAAGTTTCCACTGGCCAGAATGCAAGTTTCATGACAGAAGAGTACTTTCTGCTTTATTCTCTTTATTCTCCTTCCTTTGTAAGTGTTTAGTTAATATCCACAAGATGAACCCTTACTCTTGACCTCACATTTTCCCTTTTTTAAAAGTATTGTTTTTACTAACTTTCTGTTTAGTTGTCAATCCTTTGTATTTTGACTCTTTCTTGCTAAAAACTGTTCCCACCAAAGTCACCAGTGACCTAGATATTGGATAGTTTTGACCTATCAGAATTTGACTCGCTCACATATTTCTTCCTTTTTAAAATATTCTTTTTAAAGTACTTGCTACACTTTATCTCATTCTCTTGGTACTTTTTCTCTGGCTAGCAACTGTACATTTATGTTCTTATTTCTCTTTTTCTTTAATTCTCAACTTTTTCTTATGGTCTTTCAGCCTCCATCTGTATCTCTCTATTTTAAAAGTTATGTTTCTGGCTTGATATTCTGGCCATCTCACTAACTGTGAGGTAACTCCTTGATGATGTTGCCCTGGTACTTTGAACTCAGCCTTTTCCAAAAGGAATCAGTTGTCTTACTCTCTTCCTCATTCTCAAATTATTTCTTATCCTCAGTTTTTTTTTTTTTTAACTTGTAGTTGGACACAATATCTTTATTTATTTTTATGTGGTGCTGAGGATCAAACTTTTGGACTTTAATATACAGCTTTAATTTAAATTATTTTGGTGGAAAAATAAATAGCAATCAAAATTAAAACTTGAAATTACTAAAGGAGAATATAGATTGTTATGGCTTGAGATAAGTAATTTTTTAAAAAAGTAACTATTTTTAACATATATTTTAAAGAAGGATTCAAAACAAACCAGTAAGCAAATCAGAAAAGTAAAACATGCAGTAAGTAGAATAGAAAGTATTGAAATTGTGGGATTATATTTAATGAGTTTTCCGAATTTCACATAGTCCTTTTTGTGAATTGGTTTAATTAAATTCAGAATGAAAAATTTGTGTTTGAGAAAGAGACTTCCATTTCTAAAAGAAAGTAATTTACAAACAATACTCCCCTCCCCGTACAAATTATGCATTTTAAATTTCCATCAAGAATTGACCTTTAATTGGTTGTTAATATTAAAAGCCAATATGCCAGCAAGCACTACAGAACAAGCAATTCATCAAGGTACTACCAAAAATTTTACAAAGTTATTTGTTGTCTCTTTGGAAGCCTCTGACACTAGGTGATGATTATTAAAATTTTAAAAAAAAGTAAAAATCATAGAGTTAGTAAGAAGACTAAAAAATTGGAGGAAAAAAAATCTAAAACATTTTGTGTATGTGCATGCGTAACATCTCCATTGATGGTAAACTGACTGCAAATACAACAATAAACTACCTGGTATGATTCAGCTGGTTGTCAGGGATAGAGAAAGATTGTAAATTTATATCCTTAATGCCTAGAAAAGTGCAGAATATATAGTAAGCACTAACTATATGCTAGATACATCTTTACTTACAAATATATTTTCTCCCTTTTTACCACTTTTTACTAAGTCCTGTTCTCCCTGATTTCTTTTTTCTTTTTTTAAAAATTTTATTTGTTCTTTTTAGTTATACATGACAATAGAATGTATTTTGACATATCATACATGTATGAAGTAAGACTTCCCATTCTTGTGGTTGTAACATAATGTGGAGTTACACTGGTCATATATTCATATATGAACATAGGATAGTAATATATGATTCATTCTTTTGTCTTTCCTATTCCCATTTCCCCTCTCCCTGATTTCTTGAATCTTCCTCTTACCATCCATGTGTCTTCTACCCATACAAAGAACTCCATCTCTTTATCCTCTACATTACTAAATTGTGGTAGATTCTATTTAATGCTTTGTGGTGATATCCATGTCTTTTAATATGGCCTACACACCCAACATTGCTCTTGACTTATATGGTCTTATCCCTTATCCTTTCCCTATATTATGCTTTTCATGATGAAGTTCTGTTACTGCTTATCCTAGACTAAGCCATTTTCTCTTTGAGTATGCTCTTGATAATGGGTCACTTTTCTTCTCTGCTTGCTTATTTCTCACTTGGCCTTTAGGTCTTAGGTTAGATAAACGTCACTGACAATGAAAGCCTTTTCTGAATTCATGGTCTCTGAGAAACTCCAAGTACCCTGATTATGGTGTATTTGGATAGTCTTTTTCTTATTATTCCTTACTGAGTCATGTGCATTTTATCTTACCTTATTCATTTTAGTCCCCAGTAGCTGGCATATATAAGCCCTCACTAAATATTTGTCAAACTGAACATTTTTATGACATTGCATGTTTAACATCTATTTAAAAAGACCACTTTAACAAATAAAAAAATTTTAAAAAGATTACTTTGTTTATGATATAATTTCAGTTGGTGGAAAGGGAGGTCTTTTTTTAAATTGTTCTAGTTTGTGTATATGGTGGATAATATTTTTATACTTACATAAAATGTTTTATAATGTTGATTATAGTTTGAGTAAAAAGTAGTATTTTTTTTTTCTCCCTGCTTCCCGTGTAGTTAAAGCCTTTCATCTCAAGTATGACGAAGTTCGTCTAGATCCAAACGTTCAAAAATGGGATGTAACAGTGTTAGAACTCAGTTATCACAAACGTCATTTGGATAGACCAGTTTTCTTACGGTTCTGGGAAACATTGGATAGGTAATTCTGATCCTAAATATACTTACCTTTACTTTATTGTAGTAATTTTCGTGTCTCCTTGGTTAAATTTTAAGTTTCTTAAAGATGAGAACCATATTCCTTCATTCCCTTCTTTTTGAGCATTGTGTAATTTGATGTTGATCTCTAATAGATAACTAACAAATATATTTGATATATTGACTTTAGAAATAGATGAAGAAGCAGGGCATATAGCGGTGCTTGCCTGTGATCTAAGAGACTGAGGAGACTGAGGCAGGAAGATTGCAAGTTCAAAGCCAGCCTCAGCAACTAAATGAGGCCATAAACAACTTAGTGAGTCCCTGTCTCAAAATACAAAAATAAAAAAGGGTTGGGGAGGTAGCTCAGTGGTAAAGCCCCCCTGGGTTCAATTCCCAGTGCCAAAAATACAAAGTACAAAAAAAAAAAAAAAAGCAAAGAATAGATTTTTAGTCTATTGGGAGAAACAATAAACTCGACTCAGAGGTGTGTATTAGTTTGTTATTTGTTCAATGAATTATCTGACCTCTCTGAACCACATTTTGTATCCATCCAAGAGGTATGGATTAAGTGATGATTAAGACCCTAACTCTGGGTTTATTTGGGTTATGGGAAAATCATGAAAAGAAATGAATTTTTAAATTTTATTTTAATTAGTATAAATAGAGTTTTGAAGTTCTTTATTAATTGACAAATTGAAGAAGAGCATATGATCAAATTAATACTACTAAATCTGTTGTTCTTTTGAGATGAGATGTTCCTTAAAAATCTACTACTTTTTTGGTGTAAGTCTCTCACTGGATTTTATAGGTTTTCTCAAAGTCAGGTGATTGAAGTAGCATAATATGATTATAACTGATAATATATTAAAGAGAAACATTTTTCCTAGCTAGAGTCTTAGGTTATAGAATTTAATAAAATTGCTTAATTCAAAAGTATTTATATTTCAAAGTTTGTAGTATCAGGTTGCTAGTCTCTTAGAAAACAAAACATATTGTTCCACTGTTGATTTTAAGTTTTTAAAAATATCAACTTATTTTTATGTATAATATTCTAAAAAATTCTGAAACTCATGTAATAATTATAACCTATTATGAAATTGTCTTTCAGGTACATGGTAAAGCATAAATCCCACTTGAGATTCTGACTTATTTGGTTCCTCCATCTCTAAAAATCTGGATTAAGAAGCATGGATATACCTTGATCTAAAGACTCAAGCTTTATGAATTTATCAGGAACTTATAAATGAAGAAGGTCACAGATCAATCTTTTATAAGACCTTATTTGATGCTTTTGCTTCAAAAGGATGATGCCTGTCATCCAAATAAGCAAACTTTTTGGCTTATAACTATTTTTTTAATATTAGCCTTCTAGTCTGTAATGGAAATTGTATATTTTGATAGAAGTTTTTTCTCTATTGGTTAAATTAGCATTACTTAAAATTTGTTTCTTTAGAAAATAAATACAGGTTATAAATGTGTGTATATTTAGAGGTTATAAGGCTCTCTAAGCCATCTTGCTTCTGATTTTTCATTGCTCTATAATTCCTTTTACTGAAAATACTGTGTTATGAATGGTATTAAATTTTAGACTCTGGAACTTCAAAAACCAAGCAAAGGGATGTGACTATTTTGAATGAATCAAAATTTCAACCTGTATGTATGCTATGTCTACATGTATTCTTTATTTAAAAAGAAATAATGAAAAATCCACAACAGTTCTTCAGCTTTGGTTGACTGTTCAGCCTTTTCAAGACTTCTCATAAATGAATACATTTGATGAATGTACATTCTTCTCACTTGATAATTTTAAATCTTAGAATGATATATTTCTATTTGCGATACCTTTCCTGTTGGAAAATCTCAAAACACAAATTAAAAAACACGATTGGCTATATAGCAGCTTATTTTGGAAGCTAGAGTATGATTTGAGGGAAAGTATATATCAGCACCATTGCAGTATAACTTTCTTGTTATTTTATATGGTATAGGATTTTGAGTCTTCTTTGTCAATTTTGGACTTCTTTATCTTCCATTATCCCTAACTATTGATAAACTTCCGGGCACCAAAGATCATTTGCTTAAGTGTCTGAACAGAAACAAGATTAAAAAACACTGGTATTTTTGTGTGTATTCAATATGGTATAAAATGTAAAACCTATATTTTAACTTAGTAAAATATTTTACTATTTCTCTACTTTAGACAGAGTGTTGCATTCAAGGTCCTGGAGTCTATTTATTATTTTTTTTTTAATCTTTTTCTTCTTAAAAACTCCTGGGAAGTTTAATTCCCCTAAATTGTTTTTACCATTAGAACTGTTGCTGACCATTTTCTTATGTCATTTTTTTTTTCACAGTGATTCTCTCTTTAACATTTTTTAAAAAAATATATAAACATTTAGCCCTTTCTTATCAAGCTGATATTCTCTAGTCATTTTTTGAAATTTAATGCTGTCTTTAAAATGAGAAGCAATTATTATTTATATTTTAAGTAATGACAAAAGTCCTTATCAATAGGGAATTTACAAGGCTCTCCAAAAGAAAAGCAGCCAGCATTTTAAATTATTAAATTTTAGTATATTTATTAGGTTTGAACAGATGCTGCTCTCATTTTCTTCCTCCTTTCTTTGCATCTACTCTTTCTGAAGATAAAAGAAAACTCAATTTGTTCACATTAGAATTTCTCAGCATATGAATCTGTTCTCAAATTATGTATTGTGTAAACTCCATGATGAAATAGACATGTACTAGAATCTATAATATTTTTATGTAAGATTACTTATTAAGACTACTACAAGTGGACATGGACTACCTTTCCATAAAGATTTTTGGTATTTATACTGATACATGAAATTTACTTGATACAGAGTGTGGTTAAAATTAACATCTTTGAACAAGGTTTATTTTTCTATTTTGAATTTTCCTTATGTATATTCAAAGGCTTCTGGAAATATTGTATGGAACATTAGGAAAAGTACAAATATGCTATTCCATGTACTTAAAAATCAGAGTCTTAGTATGCACTTGGGTTACTTTTTCTCTCTTTGACCATTTGTTTCCTTATTTAGGTCATGTAATTAATTTTATAATGATTAATTCTAAAAAACCCACAAAACAAAACTCTCAGTGAATTACTATTTATTCTCCCATGACTCAGTTCTACAGCAGCACCTAAGACAGTGCCTTGCACATAGTAGGCATTCAGTAAATATTTATATGCATGAATGAGTGATGTATTTTCATTGTAACTGGTTTATTACAGAAACGTAGTTTGACGATACTTGATCTTGGAGTTTGGGAATACAGAATTAACAGGGGAAAGAGGCATAAGTAGATAATTTAATGGAAATGAAGAGCACATTAATAAACTTGACTTACCCATAAGTTACTATTAACTGGAGATACCCTAATGTGTTCTGACTGTAAAGGAGGGCTTTTGTTTCTTTATTCCTTGGAGTCTTCTGAGTCAAGTAACAATAAGAAAGAAGCACATAGATTTCAATCAATAGATCTGAACACTGAACATTGGAATCACTTGGAGAGTTTTGAAAAAATATCTGTGACTAAATGCCTATTCTCATTTAATTTATCTGGGATGAGACCTGATCTCAGTATTTTTCAGAAGTTCTTGAGGTAATTTAAAATGCAAGAAGGAAGGAGAATCACTGGTTTAATTTGTTATTTGAAAACAAAACCAGTATTAAATGTTTCCACTTCATTCTCCTTTTCTAATGTGTGTGGGTGTGTTTTGTGTGAGGTCACTCTTTGCACTAGACCATCCCTCCTATTGTGGCATTGACCTATATTCCCAAATGACAAATTAAAATCTTATTTATTTAATATAGAAGGACTATTTTGCTGTTTAATATTTAAATAATGTTTAATATATTTTATTATTAACTAGTATTATAGCTTTATGGTTTGTTTCCCATGTGTTCATTTCCTTACTAACTCTGTTTTTAGCAATAGCACAATAGCAGTCCATACAGGAATAATTCATAATGAGGAAAATCTGAATTTTAAGGTAGAAAGAAGTATTAATTTTCTTATCTGCCATGCAGAATGAGTCAGATTGTTTATGAAAAGAGGCATACTTTAAATTGGTCTGCACAAAAGAGTAAATTACTCAAATAAAATTCACTGTCTAATCAACACTGAAGGGAATATTTTTCCTAAATAAAATTTTTTTTGACTCCTAACAAAATTAAGGTGATAACAGTGTTCTTATTTGGAGGGTGGGAAGGGAATATTTGTCAAACTAATGTAGTATATGAAATTCTTTGAGATTTAACAGTATATTTTATAATATTACACAAAAATTTAAAACTGGTCAAAATTAATGGCTTAGAAAGTGGCTTTAAACTTAATGCTTTTGGTTTAGTGTGTTCCCAGCCCCCTATAACTCTCCTAGTACACGCTAGGTAAGTGCTCACTTGAGTTAAACCTTCAGCCCTAAATTTTGTGTTTTTAAAGTGCTTATTTAAATGTAAAATATAACTTGAAGTTTATTTTCCAGATAAATTTTTATTAAAGCCTACACACATACCTACACAAACATAATACATGCTCATGTTTCTTAATAAAGAAAATTTTGGTCTGCCTATTTAAGATTTATGTAGAATGCTAAAGAGAAATAATTTATAAAATAAAATAGGAATTGTAGAAATATGTTCTCAACTCAAAAAGTTGGTGGCTGCTATTTTTCTTTAAAAAATAAAAATTGATTACACTGATGTGACTAGACTGGATTTTCACTGTTTATTCACTTAGGTTTGAGAATCATGTTGATTCTCATAATAGTAACTTTAGAAATAAGAGGGAAGAATGACTAAATTTGTCTTCAACTAAGATTATAATTAGGAAGTTTTGAAATGCCATGTCCTAAATGTTCTGGCGTATTCATCTCCATGTTTGAAAGTTTGCTGAACCCAGTATTGTTTACATATTGGTATGTGGGCACAATAACTAAGGAAAAATGAAAATGTATAAAAGAATTGTAAAGAATTATATCTAGTAAGAATACTTTTAGGTCATTGTGTTTGGTCTTGTATATTATTTTAGGTAGTTTTTATATAGGAGTATCTTAGAAGTTTTAAATATTTGCCATCTGCTGAAATGCAGTATGCATTTTTATATGAACAAAGCTAATGAAATAAAATAGTTTTATTGCCAAAATTCAAAAAGTGAGGTGATAATATTTTAAATTTAAGCAAGTGATCTATCCCAAATATTTATTTGCTGTTGAATTCCTTTTATAGCCACTTTAAAAATACTAAGAGCTACTTAACCCCTAAGGTTGTTATAGTACTTACAAAGTTAATGCAGTTTCTTTATATTATAGTAGCCCACTGTGATTGATTGCTTCACCAATTGATGACTCTTTCCCAAGCAAAGTTATTCATGAATACAGATTAAGTAAATAAGACATTTGGTAGTACTTTACATTAAAAATCTTAGGGATATTTCCACCTTCCCCCTTATCACCAACCAAAAAAAAGTATTTTTTAAATTAAAACATTTAAAAAATATTTTTTTCTTTTCCCTAATACCACGAAGACAGAAACATTGTACACTGGGATATTGTCTTTACATGGTGTAATTTATAATATTTGTCAAACATAATGTTTCTGTTTTAGAAATAAATATAAGTTTTCACTTTGAAAACTAATGAGTTAAAGTCATTTACAGTCTCCTTGCCCATTAATTAGGTAAATAATTTAGAGAATCATAGTTTTCCTGAAGGTACCAAACTTCATGCTCTACTAAACTTACTTTGATTATGGCCATATGTTCTATGTTATTGCAGTAGTATTAAGTATTTCATTACCTTTATAGCTTGCCCTGGTTTTGACATAATAGACAACAATAATATAATAAAATTTACAACAGATTTTATTTCCGTATAATCAAAATTATTAACAGCATCATATTGGCAATGTCAATAATTGAATCTTCTGCATCAGGATATTTTTAATGAAGATTTTTTAAAAAATATATTTTTAGTTGTAGATGGACACGATATCTTTATTTTGTTCGTTTAGGTTTTTTTTTTAATGTGGTGCTGGGAATTGATCCCAGGCATGTGTTCTAACACTGAGCCAAAACCCCAAGTTCCTTTAATGGAAGACTTTAATGGACTCCATGCAAACTTAATTTTCATTCCATTCATAAGTGTCCACTAAGTACGTATTTTATTATGCTGTTCTGTTCTTTTGTTCATCTGCTTTTGGATGAGCATCCACATAACTGAAACGGAACATGAGTTGTAAATGCTGTTGAATTTTTTTTAAATTTTAGGCTCAAAGGTGTTAATATATAAATAACAGAACATTGACAAATAAGCTTTTCCCTCTCATTTCCTAAAACACTTCTCTTTTTTTTGTTTGTTTAATAGTGTAGTGGTCAATATTTATGGTAAATGTTCCTTTTTTGCTCTCAGGTTTCTTAAATGACTGTAAAAGAAATTATAAAACAACTCTGGAGAAGGCTGTGTGTTTGAGTCTGCCTAATGATTATTTGTAGATCCTTTGGCACAGAATTTATAGTTTACAATCCATCCTCATCTAGAGAATGCTCGTCTTTACTACATAACTAATATAAATAGAGCCGAGACTAGAATGAAGCAGAAGACATCTGAGGGATTCTGTTGCCACATTTGAGTATTTTATTGACCTATACTTAACTGGCCAACAAATTTCAAATGGGAACATGTTGGGTCACTATTTCACTGTGATAAAATGTAGTAATGTTTTCTAACAGAAGAACTGCCTTCATGGAGTTTAATATTAATACTAAACATGGCAGTGATACTTATCTTTTTTTTAATTGATCAATAATATAAACATTTGTTGTTTTTTGGGGGGTAGTGGGGCAGTGGGGACTGAACTCAGGGGCACTTGACCACTAAGTCACATCCTCAGCAATATTTTGTATTTTAGTTAGAGACCGCCTCATTGAGTTGCTTAGCCCCTCACTTTTGTTGAGGCTGACTTTGAACTCATGATCCTCCTGCCTCAGCCTCCTGAACCACTGGGATTACAGGTGTGCACCACCACTCCTGACTATAAACCTTGGTTTTTAAAATGAAATAGTTTGAAAGTATCATGTCGGTGTGTGTAATGGTTGGGCGAGATTGAGTGAAATTGCTCATGGTTCATGTTAACACAACTAAGTATTACTAAAGTTTATGTTTTGACTATAAAATGGTCTTAACATTTGTATTCTTAGATGATGTATTTTTATTTCATAATGCACCACTCAGTACAAAACAAAATAGATTGCACATTAAAGTTGTTTAAGGCTAATGAAATTTGATATAAGAATTTGAGGTAAGAAAAGAAATTATGTGAGAATTCCAATGTAATGGGAAAATATGGCAGTAATTGGAACTGTATTGTATCCTTAAGAAGTGGTCACGATTTAAGCAAAGCTTGACAAACCATTGGTGTGGTTTTTCTCTAGCTTGCTTGATTATAGGTGTAGGGGATTGCAGTTGGGTTTTCGACTTCTAGTGGAAGTAGAAGCAGGCCAGGAAATTGACATTTGCAAGGTGATATGTAGTTTGAGGAATAAATCTTGGACAGGATGTGATGGGTATGAGAAAGTGACACTATTCTGTGAACTAAAAGCTTCAGTGAAATGAGCCTGAAAGATGAGAAAAGGATATGGTCAGATTGGGATGTGTGAAACAAAGATACCAGCAGTGATCTAAGATCAAAGAGAAAAAGTCAAAACCTTGATAGGAGGAGGTGGTCTTTGAGATGAGTGAAGGATTTTTGTGGTTACATGAGTATTGAAATTACTGAGAATGTTGAGACTAGCAGTGACAAGGGAGATAGCAACAAGGAAGATGAGGTAATTGGGGAACATGAATCTGAAAGGATCCATCCTCAAAAAACTTGGGCTTTATATGGAGACAGTGAGTGGATTTATATTTAGATATTTGGAAATGAACTAATAAAATATTGATGATTAAGTTATTTCGGTACCCCCCCCAACAACCAAATTTGTTTAAATAAAATTCCCATTATGATACAGATAGAGGACTGCTTTTATTACATATGGCTTTTTGACAGTCTAGCATCTTCTATAGTCTTACTTCCCCATTTTGCTTTCTTATGAGGCTGGTTTTTGGCAATAAATATTGCCAGTTCTGTAGCTGTTTTACTGGGTGTGGGAAAGACTGTTGGAAGACCTGGGCTTTTGTTCCTTTTGAGTTTTTTAACTGCTAATACTGAGGTCACTAGTTATATATTCATCTCATTACTAAAAACATTCTCCTTAATGCTTCCTGAACTAAATGCAGGTTGCTAGAAAACGGATTCCTGGAGATACTGATGGGAACAAAGTATTTTTTATTGGAGTTTTTGGTTTTCATTGTTTTTTTGTTTTGTTTTTCTTCTGTGGGCTTGTTTCCTCATGTATTGGATTTTGGGTTAAGAATTCCTAGGCTGCTGTTAACTTTCCTTATTGAGGCAGGTTAGATGCTATTCTGAATCAATAGAATATATATAACCTTTTGATTATACCAGAATATGGAGGGGAGAGCTTGTCTTTAATCCAGGTCTTACTTGAATCCATTTATTTCACTTTTAGTGTGAAGATGTGTACTTTTTGTTATTTGGTGATTGATTTTATTTCTAATCTTTCCTCTTCTTTCACTTCTTTGCCAGTCCCTTAGGTTGTTATGACCCAAATGGATCCAATTTTACTCCATTGTCTTCACTCAGAAGTGCCCTTACTTTTTCTTGACAGAGGAAACAGAAGTCATGGACTTCCCATTGTTTTCTGAGCAAATATGTATACATATAAGAAGCTTCATTTCTTTCTTTCTATTAAGTGTTTTAAATGTCTTGTCACTCATCAAGGACATATCCATTCATATTGCATTTCTCCTACAACCTCTCCTATTGTCACAAGTTTTGGACTATTACTGTTGTCATCTTGTCAACCTATATTTACCCTTTTCTATCCATATTTAAATTTAGTTATACGTTTTTCTTAAACAGGGTCCTAGGGAGATGGCTTTATTGTGTGTCTTAAGCTCCCTCCTGTGAAACTTTTTAAATTCCATCTGCTAACTACCTTTTTTTGGACAGAGCAGTTGCTATGGGGCTGGAGACTAGAATCAGTAGGATGTATATAACCGTTTTGATTAACCAGCATAGGGAAGGGAGAGCTTGTCTTTAATTTTTTCTTAATTCAGATAGGGTCCTGTAGACCAGCAGCTATGAAACCTTCAGCAAAGACCTAAACTCCTGAAGGAGTCTTGATCTCACAGACCCATGAACTTAAAGGAAAAGTTATGCAGTCCACATTTGTAGTACTAGTAAGACTCAACTTCAGAGTACCTTCTCGGACACCACATGTGAGCTAAGTTTCGCATCACTCCATGAGGTTCTGAGAAAACAAGTTCTTGAAAATAGAGGAAAGATAGGTTTTCCTCTAGTCATTGGTGAAGGAAATGGTCAATTTGCTGGTTGACAGCAATTCCACAGAAACAAAGGTAACTGGTTTCTATTGTTAATGAGTTTATTATGGCATAAAATATCCCAAAGTTTGACTTGTGCAAAAGGGAGGATGAGCAGACAAAAGGAAAATAGTCTATGGAAAACTAAAATGGCATCTGCAAGTGAGAGAAAACCCTCAGAAATGGATGATGAAATTGCTGGTCTAGATGGATGGCAACTTTAATTCTGAAAAAGCATGTAAGACTTTAAACACAGTATAAAAT